TTGACTGTGCACATCTCCCAGGCCAGCCCAAGATGACGTATGCTATGATGGAAAGAAAGGAATCGGCGTTTTTTGTTGCTGTTGTTGTTTTTTATTTTATTGGGGAATTGGGGGAGAGGAACAGTGTCGGGGAATTGGGAAAGGGGACCAGCCAAGTTGTTGTTCTTCAGTCTTCGTTGTGGAGGGCGCCAGTCGCCATCTGTCTTCCCATCGGCAGCTCATGGCCTCTAAGCTCAAGGTGCTGTGTTCAGTTTTAGTTTTGGGTGGGCGTAGCCACCATCCCATGTGGGAGTCGAACGAGCAGCCTTGTTGTTAAGAGTGCACACTCTATCCACTGAGCCATCCAGGCGGCAGCTCAGCTCAAGGTGCCGAGTTCATTCTCAGTTGCACGTGGCCATAGCCCACTATTAAACAGGTGATCTTGTTGTTACACCAGCTGAGCCATCCTGCCACCTGTTGGCAGGTCAGCAACAGCTCCGCTCGGGTGCAGCATCACTGGTCCAAGTGGGAATCAAACCGGGCGGCCCTGTTGCTTAGAGCTCATGCTCTTAAGCCAACTCTTAACCAACTGAGCCACTCTGCCGGCCCCAGGAATCAGCATTCTTGTTGCCTTTCTTCACCTCCAATAAGAGAGTGGCTGTCTTTCTGTTCCAAATAGAATTCACCCATTCTCCTACAACTGTGTCGTCTCCTGGTTCTTCCATCGCTATAAATGGCTGTGCTCATGACTTCTCCCTCTCCTTTCCCTCACCTCCAATTAGAGGGAGTTCAAGCACTTCCAGTTATTGCTGTCTAATTTGTTCCTTTCCCTCGATTCCCACTGATGCCACCCAGGAGTCCTGCAAGCACAATGCCCAGAACTTAGGAGATTTTTCAAGGACCTACAGAAATGTTTATGACTTGAAAAAAAAATTGACTAAAAGAAAAAAACTATTCACAAAATCAAAAGAATTAAATATTTACAAAAATATTTACAACTTATCAGCTTCAGTCTGTGTGTGTGCATAAAGTTTAAGGCTTAAAGAAAAATAATCTGTACTTTATGAAACTCAAACCTCGAAATTATAAAAAGGTGTTCAAAAGTTTCAGTTTAAAACAAGGTATTTAATGTGGAACATGTGGTACATTAAAATTTTTTTTTTAATTTTTCAATGACAGTTGACATGCAATATTATATTAGTTTCAGGTGTACAACATAGTGACTAGACATTTATATAACTTATGAAGTGATTCCCCAAATAAGTCTAGTCCCCACCTGACACCACATGTAGTTATTACAATATTATTGACTGTATTCCCTATGCTGTACTTTACATCCCTGCGACTGTTTTTGTAACTGGCAATTTGTTAATCCCTTCCCCTTTTCCACCCATTCCCTCAACCTCCCTCCCATCTGGCAGCCATCAATTTCTTCTCTGTATCTATGAGTTTCTTTCTATTTGTTAATTTATTTTGTTTTATAGATTCCACATATAAGTGAAATCATATGGTATTTGTCTTTGTCTGATTTATCTCACTTAGCATAATAACCTCTAGGTCCATCCATGTTGTTGCAAATGGCAAGATTTCATTTTTTATGGCCGAGTCATATTCCATTGTACATACTCGTATGTACCACATCTTCTTTAGCCAGTTGTCTATTGATGGACACGTAGGTTGCTTCCCTATCTTGGCCATTGTAAATGATGCTGCAATGAACATAGGGGTGCATCTGTATGGAGTACATTTTAAGATGCTTCATATGTAGTAGAGCAGGGTCTTGCACTGTCAGAGCATCTGGGGGCCATGGAAGTTTTATAAACATCCTGCTGCCATCATCTTTTCTCACCCTTTAGAGTACATTTGCAATGTTTCCAGTGCACGAGTGAGAGCAGACTAGCTGAACCTGAGTCAGAGGGCAAAGAACCACCTGAAAAAGTGGGAACAGTAATTGAGCTCACATAAGGCCAGGAATAATGCCTGTTTTCAACAGCCAGAATGGAAAAGCTCACAATTCATAAATACTGGACAGAGTACCCGGAAGAGTTTTGCCAATTAGTGGGGAAAATTAGCCCTAGAATAAACGCTGCTCTGGTATCACCCATCAAATCTCAGAAGTTAGACGATCAAACTAAGTAACTTAACTGCATGCCACAGCAAAGCTCAAGAATATTTATAAAATTCAAACATATCCAGCACCCAGTGAAATAAAATTCACAGTGTCTGGGATCTAATAAAAAAAATTACCCGGCACGCAGAACGGCAAGAAAATACAAGCCACTATACACAGAAAAATCAGTCAATTGAAGCTTACTCATCACCAAACAGATACTAGAATTAGCAGACAAAACAGTTATAAGTATGTATATTCCAAATGTTCAAAAACCCCAAAGAAATGCTGAATATGTTAAGTATGAGATACAGAAGGTTTTTTTTACAGATTTTTATTGGGGAACTGGGAGGATGGGAATAGCGCTGGGGAAGTGGGGGAAGGGGAACAGACAAGTTGCTGTTGTTTTGTTCTTCAGTCTAGTTGTGGAGGATGTTGCTTCACTGGCCCAAGTTGGCACCATCATTGCACTCTTCCAGGCTGAGGCAGATCAGTCACCGGCTTCTGGACGGCTGCTCACTGCGGCTGCTGGCCGCTCACACTGGCTGCTGGCCACACACGGTAGCCCATGACAACCCACTGCAGTAGTGGCTGCAGCCTACACCATCGCTGGCGACTCACGGCAGCCCAGCTCCAGGTTGAGCCATTGTTCAGCATCTTAGCTGTAGAGGGCAGTGTCACTGGCCCTCATATGTGGGATCCGAACCGGGGTCCTCTGGTGTCCCAAGCTAGTTCTTAACCATTGCGCCACTTGGCCGGCCCCAGAAGATATTTTTTAAAACCCAAATTGAACTGTAAGTCTGAGATGAAAAATACACTGGATTAGACTCATAACAAAGTTTCAGAGCAAAACAAATTAGATGGGTAGAAGAAAAGATGAGTGAATTTGAAGACACAGCAGTAGAAACAACATGGAACAAAGAGAGAAAAATAACTGGGGGAAAAATGGAGAGAGTGAGGTGTGGGATAACTTGAAGTAGCCTGATATAAGTGTGATTGAAAACTCCCAGCCACTCATAGCCCGTATTCAGTGGGAATACAGATAGCACAGTCACTGTGCAAAACAGTTCGGCAGTTTCTCCAAAAGTTGAACATCGACTTACCGTATGACTCATCAGTCCCATTCCTACATATTTCCACAAGAAAAATAATAACATGTTTGATATTAAAATCTGTATTTAACTAGGTGTAGCGGATTTACTTATAATTGCCTCAGACTGGAAACAAAACAAATGTACTTCAGTGGGTACATTAACTATGGTACATCCATACAGTGGAATACTAGTCAGCGATAAAAAATGACAGACTACTGATATATACGACATGGATGAAACTCACATGCCCTATGCTGAGTGAAAGAAAGAAGATAGAAAAAGCTACATTCTACATGGTATAATTCAATGCTATTGTAAAAAAGGCAGACTTATGGGTACAGAAAACAGAGGGTATAAATCTGTGTTTGGAAGCACCCTGCACTCATCTCTGTCATCTAACACATCACTGTGTTATCCTTATCTACTTGTGTCCCTCATGAACCTCTTACCTGAGGCCCAGAGCCTCGCACAGTGGTGGGTACATGACCAGCAGTCAACAAATTCTTATTTTCTTACAGTATGGCCCCGCCCTGGGACATGAACTTAAAGAGTCCTTCTGGCTCCCTTCCAGGCACTTCCCTCTGCAAAGGATGAATAATTGTAGAGCCAAGATGATACACCACCCCAAAGTCTAGATGCCCCCTTCCGGAGTCTAGACCATGTTTAGGGTACCTGTGTACGCTGAAATTTACCGCCCAAATGAGGTCAGGGCCTGCAAGAACTTCTTTCCCAGCTTTCTCCCGAGGGCAGACCCAGCTGCTAATGTGTATCCTTAGACATGAGAGGTGGCTGAGGCACAGCTGTTGCAGGAGTGCGGGCAGAACTTGGGTGTGGCTTGGAGGATCCACACACCGTAGCAAGGCCCCTCTCAGTGATGGAGGTGGGAGCCAGAAATGGGAACAGTAGTGGGGTGGGGAAGGACTGGAGGCCAGCTCGCTCCATGATACCATATTCCAGATGTGTTTCCAGGTATTCCAAAGGGCCCCAGAATTCTGAATATGAAACTGGACTTCTAGATCATTACGAAAATATATTTATCAAGGTAGGAGAACAGAACGTATAGTATTTAACAATTTGTCACTTTGATGTAAAACTTTTAAATATTTAAACGTGGTATTTGGGCTTCCATTTTGTACTCCTACTCCAGTGCTAAAAAATGTTAGGGGCAGGCCCGAACAAGGGAATAAAGACTACAAAAACAGGCGACCTTGCTTTGTAATTATAGGGGATACGTTTTATAAAATCAAGCCCCACAGAAGGAGGTTGCCGTGGTGCCATGTCATTGTAATCAACTGTTGCCCTCAGTTTGTTCATGGTGCCCCTTTTAGGATTTCCTTAAGTGGCAATCTTCATTCAATGTTCAATAGTCCTAATAGAAAATTCCCTCACTGTTCCTGGTTCTCACGCTAGAAATACATTCCACGCATTGGCTTATCTCTGCTCTAACCACATCCTTCCCCAGACTTGGAGCTGGTGTTGCTAGAGGGACACAGAGGCACAGATCCGGGGGATGATTAGGCCCCGCAGGCCCCCAGCAAAATCTCAGGGCAACCTCCATTGGGGGTTCCACCAGGGGAGCCCAGGGGCTGCGGGGTGGCGCGGGGCGCCCCGGGAACGCCTGAGGCTGGGGAGCCGGGCACTCCCACAACCCCCTCTGAGTGACCCTGGATGTAAAGGGGAGTCCCAGGGCAAGTGGGGGGGCCGATGCCCCGCAGAGTGGAAGCAGAGGTTTCACTCACCTGGGCCAGCGGCTTGGTGTCGCCTTAGTAACCACAACTTCCGGCCCTCGCCGGAAGCCGCCGAGGAGCTCTTCCCAGAGGGCGGCGCCCCCAGGGGGCGGGCACACTCACCCGGCGGCTCACCCTCGGGCCGGGACCCGACGGCGCCGCTGAGGTCGCCCTTCCGAGCCCGGTGCGACCCTTGGCCTTGGGCTGGACGCCATGGACGCCTTCGCCCGCTTCACCAACCAGACCCAGGGCCGGGACCGGCTCTTCAGGTGAGTCGGGTGCCAGCGGCCTCCGACCCGCACCCGGGTCCTGGGTGTCCCCACCCCGAGAAGGAGGGGGCAGCCCAGTGGACGGAAGCAGGGAGGAGGCTCCCGGCTCCCGGCTCCCGGAGGGATTTTGGTGCGCGCTCCCCTCCCCCTGAATTCAGTGGGGCTGGGCGGAGAGACAGCGTCTCCCAACCTGCTTCTCCGTTCAGTGTGCTTCCGAGGAATTCATTTTGAAAAGAAAGTTTGGGTTGGCATTTGTGGCTTCCAATCGCCCACGGTGTGCTTATGGAGAAACAGAAGTTTTAGTTATCTCCTTTATCTTCCTTTATTGTTCGGCCTCCCTCAGTGAGATCCACCGCATGAGTTTTGTGAACTAGAACACAAAACGCCGCATGGGGAGCCTCAGAAAGAACGAACAGCTTGAGCGAGAATATTAGAGAGATTTGGATTTAACACTCATTAGTTCCTGATGCTTTTCAGAAAAGAAATTTGGTTGATTTCTTGCGCAAGCATAAAAAAGATTAGTTACAGTTTTCGTTGAACAGCTCTGCCCTGCTCTCCTGGGTGTGTGTTCAAGCGCTCATACAGACAGAGTGATAAGAAAAGCCCCAGCAATGAGACTTTGGAAAGCTGACTTTATGCCAGATGCTGTTCTCAGTAGGTCACAACTCTTTTTTCTTTTTTTTTTTTTAAGATTTTTATTGGGGAATTGGGGGATGGGAACAGACAAGTTGCTGTCCTTTTGTTCTTCAGTCTAGTTGTGGAGGACGTTGCTTAACTGGCCCAGGTTGGCACCATCATTGCGCTCTTCCCAGCCAAGGCAGATCAGTCGCTGGCTTCTGGACGGCCGCTCTCAGCGGCTGCTGGCTGCTCGCTACACACGGTAGCCCATGGCAACCCACCTGTCGTCTGCAGCGAATCGCGGCAGCCCAGCTCCAGGTCGCGCTGTTGTTCAGCGTCTTAGCTGTAGAGAGCAGTGTCACTGGCCCTCATATGTGGGATCCAAACCGGGGCCCTCTGGCGTCCCAAACCAGTTCTTAACCAACACGCCACTCAGCCGGCCCAGTGGGTCACAACTCTTAACTCATTTAACCCCCATCACAATGCTATGAGGTAGATACTTGAAATCATCCCCATTTCGCAGATGCAGAAACGGAAGCAGAGGGTTTCATAGGTGGTCAGTGGCAGAGCTGAGAGATTTACATTTTCACAGTTGACTCCAGTGCCCACCTGTTTAATTACCAAGCCAAACCACCTTTCCAATTAATTTGAAATAATTTGTATATACAAACTTCACTGAAGTAGAAGCCTACAATTCCAGGGGACTGATGTACCCTGCAAGGTTTATCAACGAGGTTGGTTAAGAAAATAATTGTTGGGCTGGCCGAGTGGCACGTTGGTTAAGAACTGGCTTGGGACGCCAGAGGGCCCCGGTTCGGATCCCGCATATGAGGGCCAGTGACACTGCCCTCTACAGCTAAGATGCTGAACAACAGTGCGACCTGGAGCTGAGCTGCCGTGATTCGCCGCAGTGATTCGCTGCAGATGGCAGGTGGGTTGCCATGGGCTACCGGCCCATGTGTAGCCAGCAGCCAGCGTGAGCAGCCAGCAGCCACCGTGAGCTGCTATCCAGAAGCCGGCGACTGATCTGCCTCAGCCAGGAAAAGCACAATGATGGTGCCAACTTGGGCCAGTGAAGCAAGGTCCTCCACAACTAGACTGAAGAACAAAAGGATAGCAAATTGTCTGTTCCCTTTCCCCCAATTTCCCAATAAAAAAATCTTAAAAAACATAAGAAATAAAAAAAATAGTTGTTCAGGATATACTTATTCCGCAAGATCTGAAATCTCTGGTATTAATTTCCCAATTGTCACTGGTGATCTTCACCTTCTGTGAACAAACTGGCACTTATAAAATAAAGCCTTGTTTTGGGACACATTTCTCCTATTAGACCAAATCTGAGAAAGGGTGGTTTGTTGGTGTGAGCAGCGTGAGCCCTCTGGCCAGGAAGCATAATTGAAGGGGTGAGGGGTGTTGGTTGTTTCTTTTTTACTTCATCCCCAATAACAAGGTCACCATTTTGGAAAATGTGCTACATTTTAATGGAGCATGTAGGGGTTCAGAACGAGTCACCCCAAGATGTGCCTCTGTGATATGGGGATTATTTTGAGCTAAAGGCATCCGAGACCCTGTGGCTCAAGGGAAACTTCCACCCTCCCTTAACTGCCTAGAAGAATCTAAATTAGGAGCTATCACCAGAAATAACATTTTGTAGGGCAGGGCAAACTTCTAGTTAGTGAACATCTGCTCTTACCTTCCTGCGAACAACCTTCCTCCCCTCTGAAGCCCCAAGTTGCCGCCTTACTTCATCCTTAGCTCAGAAAGTCATATATACCTCAATTTCCCTTTCTGTCTCTGAACCTCTCATGTCTCTGACTCTCATGGATGTGGGCTTCTCATACATAATGTATGTAATTTGGTCATTTTTCTCTTGTTACTCTGTCTCATGTAGATTTAATTATTAGACCAGCAGAAAGAACATTGAGGGTAGAGGAAACTTTTTTCCCCATAAGAGTAATGTTTATAGCATAAAAGGGATTCAAATGCAGCTACAGGACAGGAGGAAACAGGTACCTACTTTATTACATAGACTGCCAAATGCGTTTAGATGTTCGCTTATGGGATATAAAATTTCTCATGTTGTAGATCTATTAGTAAGGCATTGCTATTTGTAGTCATGACAATAATCCCTTTATTGAATATTTAGTATCATTAAACATATAATGTACTTTATGTTTTTTAATGTAAATATGTATTTTATATAAAACACTAATTAGTTTTGAAAGACCAATATCTATATTTATTTATGTATTGGTGTGTATTTGGTCCTTAGAAAAAAATTAAACAATATTCAAACCGTGGGCTTTTCATTTGGTTCTGGTTTGAGTGTGTCTCCGTTAACTATATGGTAAAAAAGTGCATCGTAGAGATCTGAGAAATCATTGTGCACTGGAGAAAATGAAGATCTTTGCAGACTGAGCATGAGGGAGGTTTTTGTGCCGTGTACCACTCTGGCAGCACCCGCTTCTCTGTGCCGGCAGAAGGCCTTCCGAGGGAGGGACTGCTCTGGATTACCGCCAAGTTCTCTGCCATTACCTTTGTGTTGCATTTCCATCATGCGTTCTACCCTTTGGCCCTGTGGAGTGACTATTGCAGAATTTTGCTGTTGTAAGAAGAGCTGCTTACAATTAGACCTGGTCTTGGAAACCTTGCCTGTAGCAAGGCACGTTTCTCGTTCCCGTACTCCATGAATCAAGTTTTATTTGATTTGTAAATTATTCTCATTTTCTTTTCCATTTCAGAGCCACTCAGTACACATGCATGTTGCTTAGCTATTTGTTAGAGCCTCACGCTGGCAAAGAGAAGGTGGTAATGAAGCTCAAGAAACTGGAGTCCAGTGTGAGCACTGGCCGTAAATGTAAGTAGCCTGGCTCTTGAGGGACAGTGGCCCCTGCTTTGTATCCTCGGGCTCAGTAATTCACAAAATCCTTTCTAGTCAGTCAAGTTGGTCGAGGCAGTCGACCAGGAAGTCTGCCCTCCTGGAACAATAGGCCAACATGTTGACTGTTTGGCTGCCGACCATTCACAAGCACCCTCCTGTGTTCACAGTTGGCGTTCCACCATATTTCTGTTTAATCATGATCCGTGGAACGTAGGTTGTGCTAGTTCACCTTTCGTTCTTAGAATCACAAAATGTTTTGGCCAGCCCTTGACCTGAGCACCTGGCTCCTGGGAGCCCTTTGTATTCTCTAGAAGAACAGAATAGCTGTATCCTGGACCCCCTACCCTTTCCCCTTCTCCTTTTGAGGGATTGCTAGAGGAAATGAACGGATACGTTTTCCTAGACCATTTGTGCTGTGGTTTCATGGTAAAGGCAAAAAAATGAAGCCAGCGTTTTATACTCATTTTAATTCACTTGAAGACTAAATCATATTGGGGAATCCCGTCCTTCTAATAACAGTTAGGTGCCTGACTCCTCGTTGTTTGAGGAGAACCAGATGTTGCTAGATCGGTGAGCAGACTGGAATGTAGAAATCAGAACCTGTTTCACAGAGGCAGAGTCCTGAGCTGTGTGGGAGAACGAAGATCACGTGGTGTAAAGAGTGACATGAGGTTTAGTGCCAAATATAATATGTGGTAGAGGAAAAGAAAAGTGTTTTGGAGGAGGTGGGACTTGAAGTATGGCTAGCGAGAGAAGGAAGGAGGGTGTTTTTAACCCTCTGTCGGGTGCAACTGATCTCACAGATTCATTGCACACAAAGATGCCGCTATGAAACACGTCTTCACTGTACTAAGTCACAAACACGACTGGCAATAGGTTACGGTAGAGGGGGAAGATACGGAAGCTGTGAGTCACGATACTTAAGTTACTTGTTAGATATTTGAAAATTTGTGTCCAATGAATCTGTGAGATATCAGTAGCACCCGACGGAGGGTTAAAGGATGGTTTCCTCTAATGAAGGCTCAGAACTGTTAGGAACAACCATTGTGTTGGAGGATCAGTGAGAAAACTAGTTTGATAGACTTCATTGTCCAGCGAGACGGGAAGGGTAAGGTGAGCTGTTCTGGGTGGCTTTGAAGGCCAAGGTTAGAAGTCCTCAGACTCTTTAGCATGTTGGCGCTCAAAAGCCCTTTAGAGGTCACTAGTCTTTGAAGTTCAGAAAGGACTTACCCAAGGTCGCTCAGTTAGTGCAAGAGCCAGAACTGGAACCCAGGAATATTCCTTACATACTCTATGTTGTGTTATTTTTGATAAAATAATACTAGACAGTCTTCTGAGATTATAAGTTTCCTGAGGGTAGGTGCTTCGGAGCTTTTGCTGAGTCTAAGATATTAGGCCTTTAAGGAAAGTACTTCTTTTTGTATCCTCCATAATGTTTAGGACTGTATAGCTCACTCTGAGTAGTTGCTCAAAAAAATATTTCATTGATACATACCAGATTAATTGAATTACATGCTCAGATAAGGACATGCCTTGCAATGGTTGATTTAATTCAACTAGGAGTCACGTATGACAATATTATTAGTTGTCTTAGCCACTAAATCCTACCATCTTTACTTTGTCTTCTTGACGGTAGGGAGGCAAAGGGGGTTTGGACCAGAGATGGCAAATTGATAATGGTGTTTTCTAAGAATCGATCTTCTGTCTGGGAAGTAAATAAAATGTAAGGCATCAGAGTCTCCAGAAGAATGTCACACCTGGAGCTCATGCAATCAGAGTACCGTCCCCCTAAAGAAGTGTGGCTGGTAATATTCAAACGTGACAATCCACGCTTGTGATTGACCTTGCCTGAAGTGTGTTGTAAGGCAGTGTGAAGTACTCACTGGGATGGAGGCGATGCATTTAAAGAGCTACTATTGGGGTAACCAGTTAGCTGGTTAGTTAGTTGGTTAGTGTGCTGCTAACACCAAGGTTGCCGGTTCAATTCCCGCATGGGTCACTGTGAGCTGCGCCCTCCTTAACAAAAAAAAAAACTCACTGTCTTTCGTGTCGCCAGGATCATTTTAGGTGTTCTTAATGTCCTGTACAGTCCTCCTTTCCTGAGCCAAGACTGAGCCTCAGATGACAGTCCGTGGTTAAAAAACCAGTGCTGGCCTCTCACCCTGATGCGGGGACCCTGGCTTCCTATTGCGTGCTAGTTAAATAACCGTTCCCTGTTGTGGGTTCTCCTTGCAGGGTTCAGACTAGGCAATGTGGTCCATGCTGTGCAGGCCACTGAGCAGAGCTTGCACGCCACGGACCTGGTGCCCCGCGTATGCCTGACACTCGCCAACCTGAACCGTGTGCTGTATTTCATCTGTGACACCGTCCTCTGGGTGAGGAGTGTAGGGCTGGCCTCTGGCATTAACAAAGAGAAATGGCGAACGTGGGCCGCACGCTATTACTGCTATTCTCTCCTGCTGAGCCTGGTCAGGGATCTGTATGAAATCTCTCTGCAGATGGAGCAGGTTGCACACGACAGGGCAAAGAGGAAGAAGTCACCATCCCAGGAGCTTCTTGAGGAAACAGAATGGCTCCAGTCCTTTCTCCTCCTCTTGTTCCGATCTCTGAGGAAGCACCCTCCCTTGTTCCTGGACACGGTGAAGAACTTGTGTGATATCCTGAACCCTCTGCACCAGTTGGGGATCTATAAGTCCAATCCTGGTGTCATTGGACTTGGAGGTCTTGTGTCCTCTATCGTAGGCATCATCACTGTGGCGTGTCCTCACATGAAACTGAATACCCACTGAGGTGGTTTCAGGTTGAAAACTTGTACCTTTTAGTGGAATGGACTTTTGCATTAGTCACAGACCGTGTTACAACCTGCTTAAAGACTTGTTCACGAGAACATTTAGTGGCCCGTGACGTGAGCAGAAGTCGGTCCGAGAATGGAGAAGGAGAGAGCATGAAGATTATATATGTTTTTAGAGTACTGGAGTGACTTCTGAATTTCTGAGTATTTTCCCCTCGTCTAACATTTACTGAGCATCTCTTACGCGCATAGTAGGAGCTTAATTTTTGCTGAATGAATAAAAATTGAAAGAAAACAATTGAAAAAGGCCCAAACTGACCATTGAACACTAATATACAGTAACCTTTGGGCTGCGGTCCTCACTCTTTTGCAGACCACAGCAGGTCTGACGCACAGCCCCCTCTCTGCTCTAGTAGAGGCCCCTTCTTCCTCTGCTCAGTTACCCGCCCCCTTCTTCCACAGATGCCAGTGCCAGGATGGAGGGGAGCTGGGCTTACAGCCTCGGAAATTGCCCATGTTTACATCACTGCACTCCGGTCCTTGTCCAGAAGTGGAATCAGAAACGCATCAGGCACCTCCATGGCATAAACTGTGTCTTTAGGTAGTGCAGTGAAGAAGCAAACATCGGAAACAGAGAGAAAGAACTTGAGGTAAAAATAAATGTGGAAGGTCACAACGGGTATCTGGAGGTAGCCTGTGTCAGATGAGGAAACTGAGGTTTAAAAAAACAGAACCTCACTCCTCTGATTCTCAGTCCAGCATTTTTTCCATGCTATTTCACTGCCTCCCGGATGGAGTGGCAAGGGGAAACTCCAGGGTCCTGTGCAGAAAGCCTCTGGGAGAACATCTGTTGGTCAGTGGTTTTATCATTTATTCTACAAAAGCTAAAACTATGTATAGACTTAACTCGATTGTTTTATTTCAAGCCATATTGCAGTTTGGGCTCTTCTAAATTAATTTTCATCAGTTTATGCAATTAAGAAGTTTCACAAATACTCTGATTCTAGGAGGGTTGCAATTTTCTGTGATAAGTCAGACTTCCTGTGTGTCGGCGGTCGGGCAGGTGGGACGAGCAGTAGGGGCCAGTGAAGAGGACATTTGAATATTGAGTCAGGGCCATGTGCTCACATTCCCACTCCCCGTCTTGGGTGTTGCCTTCTTATTTGGGATTACAGATCTAATTTGACGGAAGTAGGGTAGAAAAATAGGTGGCCGGTGGCAGCCCTATCATGAAAGCTATCTTGTCTATCTGAGTGGAAATATGAAAAGAGATGTGCACCAAATAAATTTCCCATAAATGTGACTGAGCTCCTTAAAAAGTAGACTCAGGTCCTCGGCTTTCTGTTTTTAAAGTGATCAATCAAGATACAGGATTTGAGCAAGAACATTTTGGGAATTTTAAGAGAAATGAAAGCTGCTGGATCAGGGTAAATAAGTTTAATTTTACTCTGTCCAGGTCCTCTACTGTAATAGATTAATTGTGTGTAATTAAATTTCTAAACAAAGTTGACTCATGTGTCTGTGAACGTGTTCTGGGAATGGAGAAGAGCTCAAAGGAAGATCTAGAGACGGTCTTCGTCGGAGTCTGCACGGCCGGTAGGTAGAGGGAGCTGGTGAAACGAGTGCTCGCCTGGAAGAACCAAGCTGAGGAGGAGGAGAAAGAAGGATTTATAATTAGAACTTCTGGATTGAAAGAGACCCCTAAGATGATCTCGCCGAGATTGCTCCCCAGGAGAGGGTCCTCTGTTTCAGCCCTGTCAGTGGAGTTTTGGCTTCTACCTGGAGAAGTCAGCCCTGAATCTACAGAGCGGTGTGTGACGGCTGGCTCCATCTGGGTACTTCTGTCCTCTGCAGGTTAGGTTGGGTGGTGGGGAGTTAGGGGAATGTCACCTCTTCGGAATACGTGAAAACCACGGTGCCCCGGTGCCTCTCTCCCTGTGCATCCTGCTCCTTTTTAACTGGCCCTTCCCACCTCTGAGCCTCCACATGCTTGAGGGATTGTAAAAACCAAAGATAGTTCCTAATAGATGCCCAGGCCAGCACATTCGCAACTGAACCTCGTTGCCCAAGAACTTACTTATTCAACCCTGAGTGTCTGAGCGCCATGCCTAGTTATGGGGCCCACTGTGCACATGCGGGGGGCGGGCAGGTAGGGACGAAGAGAACTGTGTCCTTCAGGCTGCTGGAAAATGGACTCTTCCCCAGGGACTGTCCTCAGCCCTTTCACCCCGTTCACTTCTCACCCACATTCGACTCCTAGCTGCAGCGGACAGAGGACCAGCTTTGTCAGCAGAGCTTGCGGGCACAGAGCCCTCTGGCCCACAGCCAATCCTCCAAAGGCTCACACTGCCCTTTGGCCCAGGTTGCTCTCCAGACACAGCCTCGTGGGGAATTTGCCCTGAACCTTGGAGAGAGGCCAGGGGCCACTCGTTCACATAACGTCCATTCCTGTCCGTTACTGTCTCACGTTTTAGAAGTCCAGGTTATATCTGTACGTATTAAATGTACCAGACACTACTTCTTTTGGAGCCGCCCTGCTGCACTCTGCCCTCCCTTTCCTGCTTTATTATATCACAGGTACAGAATGAATTACCAGGGATCTGTCGTAAAGCTCCATTTCTCCCCACCCCCTGCCTCTTTCTCCCACTGCCCCGCAGCACACAACTTAGAACAGTAGATACAACTCTGCCAACAAGGGAAATAAGTTTCGTCCTACAATCCATTTTAATTAAAAGGCCCTTCTTAGGCAATCAGAAAACTCTGGCTTATACCATCGTCCTCCGTCATTTGAAGCCAAGAACTAGAACTCAGGGTCCCGCCTGACGTTGCTAACGGGGGGGGGGGGGGTGTGCAAGGGGAAGTTCCTGCCTGATGCGTTGCTAAGGAATAGGTGCAAGGTGGTAGTTCTTGGGTCGTAGATCAGTAACAGGATCTTGGTCAACACTGTCACTTTCCCAGACTTGACAAAGTCCACCTGGCTCTTCCGCTGCCTCTGGTAGCATCCTAGACCAGGTAGAGTTCAATCAACTTCCTTGAAATCTAGGAATTTGCAGAAGTTGAAATTGTTCCCTCAAAGGCTAGACTGTTTGTCAACCCCAACTTGGCTTCTCTTCTTCCCCGAGAACAATTTCTCTTCATAATTGAAGAGTGGTACATTCAGGTAAACTCTGTTCAGTGTGGGTTTAAATCTCACTATCAAAATTCACTCCTGATTAGTAAGTCATAAAGGATGCAATGGGTTTAAAACAGCTCCACAGGATCCTCTGTGGAAAAAGAAAGAGCCAAAGATACAGAACTTCAGAGCTTACGAGTTTCATGACATATCGCAACCTTTCTGGAAAATAGCTTTTTGAGAACCGGGGCCAGAAATGTTACAGAGCTGATATTTCAAGGCCCTGGAATAGTCACTCCTCTGAGCATGGATCTCCAGCCCTGCGATCTGCCTCCCACTTGGCTAAAGCTTACAGAAGTTAGGTTATGCCCAGGGGACCCTGGGTCAAATAACCATGACAACGAATTGACCCGGCTTTCTTTTCCTCTCTGCCCTCCTCTAGCTGGGAGGTGTTAGTAGCATTGGCGGGACTCCTCAGAGCAAGTGGAATTCTTCGCGCTGGAGGAGGCACCGCAGCCTGGGCTCTGTGGGACTGAGGCGGCATCAGCTGGAGTGAGTGTGGGGGTCACAGGACATCTGCCTTACCTGGGGGGTTTCTGAAAGTAAAAGAAGTTGAGGGTCAGGGTCTCCTGGGAATGTTACTGAGGATGAAGAGGCCTGCAAGGTGAATGACCAAGAGTGTAAGGTAGATAGTCTGGGGCCGCTAGCTTTTCCAAAATGCAGCCAAAAAATAGCTAGTTTTAAGAGTGACTACTTTCTCACCTGGTTTAGCGTAGAGAGGCAGACTGGCAGATAGGCTTGCTTAAAAAGAGAGGAATTAAGACAAAATGTTTTCATTTAAAAAAAAAAGGCTAAACGTGAAACCTATTTTTTCAGTCTCTTTTGGCCCCTCATCTAAGAGACCCTAAACTTCTAAAGCCTCTTCTCTCCTAACACTACCTTCATTTTTCGCTGCTTACCCTGAACTCTTCTTGTAAGAAACATCAATCTTGACAAGCAGGCTTTGGGGCTCCAGGAAGTGGCTTCAGGTCTGTCACATTCACCCTCCAACCTAATGCCTCCTGTTCAGGGAACTCAAGCTCCCAGGCAGCTTGGGTCCAGTCAGTGGCCGTGAGAGGTGGGGGACTGACCCTGTGGATCTAAAGCTGAGGGTTTTCTGATGGACCTGGGGCTCTCTGCTTTGCAGCTTGAAGAGCTCCAATGGCAGTCAACAAGAGCCCAGCCTTGCTGGATGGAGACCTCCCCGTAAGTAACGGGCTTATATGAGATGGGGGTGGATAGTTGATGGGGGAAGAAGGAGTAGGTAGGGGAAGCCCAGGGGACTTAGAGCAAGATGTGTCCGGGTGATAGTCAAGTTCATTGACTGTTACATCTTAATTATTATTATTATTATTTTAATTGGGGAACATTGTGTTTTTCCAGGACCCATCAACTCCAAGTCAAGTAGTTGTTTCAGTCTAGTTGTGGAGGGTGCATCTCAGTGGCCCATGTGGGAATTGAACCGGCAACCTTGGTGTTATGAGCACTGTGCTCTAACCAACTGAGCTAACCGGCCGCCCCACATCTTAGTTATTCTTGCCCTCACTGCCTTTTGCAGGGGGCTGGTAGAGGACCTGGGGTGGGGAAGGGAAGGTGCCTGTTAAAAACTACGCATCTTAGAGGAAAAGGACAGAAAAATGGCTGGGCGGGAAAGGAGATGGAGGGAACTGGCGCAGAGCCCGTGCTTTGTCCTCCCAGGAGGAATGTCCATTCAGCACTGAGCCTTTGCATTCTGTAACTGCAGGGCGTCATTCATGTTGTGGTTCTGGTCTACGTAAATGGCACCTCGTGGAGTCCCAAGGTGCACAGGCCGTGCTGCTGCATGTGGGAAGCTATTGCTATGTGGGAAGCGGTTAGAGGGCCAGGGTGTCCAGTGTTGTGTGTCTAGCCTAGTTTCCACTGTGCCTCGGAATGCTTTGACACGTTTAGGTGTACCCGATGCCTCCTAGCAAGGCCTGTCTGATTCAGGCACAGTTCAGATTGTTAGTGAAACTAAAAAATTGTGAACCCACACAATGCCCCTGTTGCCCCAAGTTTGGCTTCAGCTACCCTTTGCACTAGGCATCACTGTGTTCCATTTTGTATGGACTTGTAAACAGAGAGAGGCATAAATGGCCAAGTGCACAGGTAAGCCCTCCTAACAGGTGGTGGCTTATTCGCTTCCCAGGATCTCTCTCCCCCTTTGGTTTTGCCTAAAACCACCCCTGAAGACTCTGTCCAGAACATTAAAGAAAATGTTTTCTGTTTACAGTCATAGCCTTTTTCTGGTTCAAATTTCAAACTCACCTGCAAGATGCAACATAGCCTGTCGCCTGGTGTGCGTACACATCTCCCTAATGGGTCTCCCAGCTCCTATGTACATAAGAGGCTAGGTCCTCGCCTCCTAGCAGAGCCATGCAAATTCAAAGCTGCAGAGAGCTTGAGCGTCTGAGTCAGACCTGGGCACTGTCCTCTTTTTATTGTTTATGTGGAGAACTCTTAGCATTCATAAGAGTAGGCAGAATAGAATACCCTTCACTCGCCCCAACAACCATTAATCCATAGCCAGTCCTGCCTCATCCTCCCTCATCTATTCCCCACCTTGTGGTATTTTTAACAAACCCCAGATACGCCGTTTCAGGCCTGAATCAGAACCCCGGCTCTGCCACTTTCTAGCTGTATGACCTTGGGTAAGTCACTTCACATCTCTGAGCCTTTACCTTCTCATGGGCAAAGCGGTGGTGATAATGCTGACCTCAGAGGGTCGCTGTGGGACTTACATGAGGCCATGTCACCAAAGCACCCAGTCGGTACCTGGAACACAGTGGCACTCAGGCGGTGTTTCCCTCAGCGTGACTAGAACCCACATTCTTTTACTCAAAGACCAGTATCTTTTCACTAAGATTCGTAGGTGACCTAAAGTTTAATGATGTGACCGCTGCCAAAGGTTGATAAAAGCACAGCACCCCAATAATGAGAAGTGCTGGTGTCACTATGCCCCACGTACTCAGACCACACCTGGAGCGCTGTCTTCAAATTTGAGTGCTGTGTTTGTAAGAAAGGCAACGCCGAACAGTAGCGTGTCCTGAGGAGATCACCAGACTTGGGGGGGGGGGGAGTCCAAGCTAGGAACTGGAGCGATTTAGTATGGACAAGGACCCCCGAAGGGAGATATATCTTCCTTCAAATGTGTAAAGGGCCAGCCCATGAATGACAAAATAGATGTGCTCAGTGTTGCAGAGGGCAGAGGGTGGAGGTGATTTCAGCTTGGCAGCGTCGTCCAACAAGGGGCCCAGGCCACTCTCAGAGGGGCGAGCTCTATCCAAGGAGATGTCCACGCACAAGCCTCCCACCGAGACGGTGGGAAGCGGTCTTGCTGCAGAGGCCCCTGGAGGCCTGAGAGTCCGTGATTCTGTGCAGTTGGGCAGATCTAAACTTACACCTACTAGGTGCAGCCCTGACCATGGTTCATTTCTTCAACTAACTGTACTGTGCAGGCTTTAGGTAGGCAGTGGGGACACAGAGATGACAGTCTACTGGGAGAGAGACAGGTACACACATGATCGCAGCATCATGTGACAAATGTGGAAACAGCCCTTTGAAGGAAGCGGTGGCTTCTGATGTGAAGGGGGAGAGTCAGGAAGCTTCACAGAAGTGATGCTCTAGCTGTGTCTTGGGGTGGCTTTTCTCCAAACAGGAGGGGTGTGGGAGGGAAGGGGAGCGGTCTATTCACAGGCAGGGGGGCACTGTTGCAGGAACACCAGAGAACTATTTAGAGAAAGGCACCAAACCAAGATGGCCCAAAACTCCAGACAGACATGCGGACACATTGCTCTCTACCAGCAGGTGGGAGTGAGGCGGACTGGAAGGCCCCTGGAGGAGGGCAGTTGCCCCCGCAGCACTCCAGAGCCTGGCCTGTGGCCAGAGAGCGTGGCAGGCTGACTTGTTTCCTCTGTGGGGCGTCCAGAGAACTCTGGCCTGGGTTCCTCCTTGGTCACTTGAGCCACGCGGGCCTCCCCAGTGGGCTCCGTGGCCCTGGGCTGCCTTCCCGGTGGCAGGAGGGGAGTGGGACGTCCCCAACGCCTTTCCTCCTTCCCTGCCAGGAGCAGGAGAACGTGCTGCAGCGGGTCCTGCAGCTGCCGGTGGTGAGCGGCACCTGTGAGTGCGTCCAGAAGACCTACACTAGCACCAAGGAAGCCCACCCCCTGGTGGCCTCTGTGTGCAATGCCTACGAGAAAGGCGTGCAGGGCGCCAGCAGCCTGGCAGCCTGGAGCATGGAGCCGGTGGTCCGCAGGCTGTCCACCCAGTGTGAGTCCTCGGGGCACTCGGAGGCTGCCAGCCTGTTCACTGGCGCGCACAGCCTGCCTGCCCGTCTATATGTCCGCCTTTCAGTCTGTCTGATCACCTCACAGCTTGCTTGTCTGTCTACTTATATGTCTGTCGGTCCGCCTTGTTATCTGTCGGGCTCATTACATAGTCTTCTCATCTATAGATATAGATGATACAGATATGGGTATAGATATGGATAGATTAGATACAGCTCCTCTCAGCTATCGGTGCTCAGCTGGCATTTTCCCAGGATAACAGTGATGGACCAAAGAATGGGCAGAGCTGTGTGGGCGGTGGTGGGTGCCCCGGGTGGGGGTGGGCCCGGGCGGACCAGACACCCACTTTAGCTCCAAATCCAGCAGCAGTAGCAGTTGCAGGAACTAGCTGCGTCTGGTACAGATGCAGAGGCAGGGGCGGGGGAAGCCCTCTGGGCCCAGCAGCTGATGGTACCAGCTCATGACCGGCAGGGGCAGCAGAGAGCCACCAGCCAGGGTCCTGGAAGTGGAGGACAGCTGTCCATGCAGCCTTACCAGACCTATCCCCATTTGAAAACATGGTCTCCAAGGCACAGCTCTTGACAGGGCTGAGGGAAATTCCAGCAGCACCAAGAAGTCTAGGACCTCCCACTGTCCTGATGAGAGAACTGCGGGTGTCTGAGGTTTCCACACAGCAAACAGGAGGGGACAGACGTAAGGAAGACCCAGGCCCTGGGCCAGCCTCCCTGCCTGCGTGCTCCACAGCTGATGTCCCTGGGTCTCCTTTTGTTCAATCAGAAGATGGCTAAGTCATCTGGGCGCTCTATTAAAGAATGTTTGTGAAGAAAAATAAGATAGCTCGAGAAAGAACATATGAAAGTATAGATAAGTGTCCTTTAAAACTGACCTCCACGACTGTGGCAGTAGAGCCTAGCCATTGGCAGCTCCTGGGCAGTATCTCCTGGAAGCCTCCCCTGGCACCTGCCCCGCTCCCTGGGGAGAGCGCCTGTTCCCTGTGAGCCTCTTCCCACTGTTGACCATCTCACTCCTAGAGGTTAAAAGGAAGGGCCATGGATAGTCAGGGGCCTAGATGGGCTGTGGCTGGGAACTCGTCACCTCATGCTCACCCTGAGACGGGAGGGCGGGGAAGGATGGAGACCCCAGGATTTTTTGCCGATCCACATAGTTTCCGTCACTTTCTCCTCACAGCAGCCCTGCAAGGGAGGCCCCATTAATCCACATTTGACAAGGAGGACGTGAGCGTCAGGCAGGCTGTGACTTGCTGGGCGCCACACACTGCAGATGCGGGCACTGGGCTGAGTGTAGGTCTGCCTGGCACCAGAGTCCCCACACAGATGGAAGAAACCAGCCTGATCTCAGGGAGTCACAGCAGATGGGGCCAAAAGGTGGCAGAGGGCCTCAGGTTCCGAGATGCCCTGGAGACAGCAGGGCTGGGGGCTTTGAGGGCTCCCAGGCACCTGCCTTGGCACAGCGGTCACTCCTGGGTCCTCACTGGGGGCAGGGCTCACCCCACCATGGCCCTTTGCTTCCAGTCATAGCTGCCAACGAGCTGGCCTGCCGAGGCCTGGACCACCTGGAGGAAAAGATCCCGGCCCTCCAGTACCCGCCTGAAAAGGTGAGCCTTTCCCTGTTCTCTGACGGGCCCCGTACTTCGTTATCACTGCCTCTCGGGGGAGGAGAGGGCGCGAGCTGATGATGCCATGACTGCGAGTCTTTCCTTTCTATGGCAAGTGCCCTCCTGGTGACGGCTGCCTGCCCCAAAGGCCACACAACGTGCTTCTGTGGAGCCAACTGAAGGCAGGGAGCAGCAGGCCCAAGCCCAGAGGCAAACTCAAACAGGAGCTTGGAGTGGGTCCCCTGACCCTGATTCCCTGCCCTCATGGGCATGCATTGGAGCACGTGGGGACTAGAGCCCCCTAGGAGCATGGGCCACACTCATCACATCCCAGGAGTGCAGTCCCATGTCCTCAAGATCCAACCCGTTATGGGCCAGGAGACTGAAAAGGCACTTCCCCTGGAGACATAGGCGTAGTCATTGGGTATTTGCTGTGGTCAGGGCTACGTCAGGTGCTTTGGGGAATAGACTTCAGTGTCTGACCTCATCTGTCCCACAGACATTTACTGAGCCCTACCCTCTGCCAGGGGCCATCGTGGGTGATTTCTAGAGCCGTTTCATGTAATCCTCTTGTCGGCCCTCTGGGATGGGGTGGTGGTCCCCATTGTACAGATGAGAAAACTAGTGACTTCCCACCGGCCACACAGCCTTACCGTGGAGGCCACGTGAGAGCGGGTCTGTTTGGCTCCCGTGCTTTTCACGCCCCCGCTGCTTTTTTTCCAGAGGAAGGACAATGTCTCTGTTACATAGGAGGTCCCGGGTTAACAGGAGAGAAAGACAAATTCCTTCAGCGCAGAACTTGTAGGAACAAGCATGTCTGTAAATCACTGTCAGTGCAGCTGGGCCTCGGAGCAGTGTTCTGAGGGAAGGACAGAGGAGCCAGTAGGGGAACTTGGAAGATTAGATGCACGAGGGAATCAGGACAAGTGTTACCAAGGACAGGTGTTCCCCTGGGGGGATCCTCGCAGGATGGCGAGGATCTCCACAGGCAGCCGCAATGCACAGAAGCCCGCGGATGGTTGGACTCTTTCTCCTTCAAGCCCAGCTTAGTCCAGGTGCCCACATAGTGGTGCCAGCCCCCTGGGCCTTGAATGCGCCTGACCCTCGTCCGCTTCCCCCAGATCGCCTCAGAGCTGAAGGGCACCATCTCCACCCGCCTCCGCAGCGCCAGGAACAGTATCAGCATGCCCATTGCCAGCACTTCGGACAAGGTCCTGGGGGCCGCCCTGGCGGGTTGCGAGCTCGCCTGGGGCGTGGCCAAAGACACCGCGGAGTATGCCGCCAGCACCCGGGCCGGCCGGCTGGCCTCCGGCGGGGCCGACTTGGCCCTGGGCGGTGTGGAGAAGGTGGTCGAGCTCCTGCTCCCCCCAGCCAAGGAAGAGCCAGGTATCTGCCCTTAGGGGCTGGCGCACCCTCCCGGGGAGTGAGCAAAATCAGCAAGGGCTCATCCAGCCACTGCTGTCGTGCAGGGCAGGCCCAGCGGGGTTTCCAGATGGACCCGTCCTTACTCAGCCCCGTTTGTAAGTGGGGAGAGTGAGTTGCCCAAATCACCAGCAGCTCGTGGTGGAGCTAGCACAGCTGCTGTCCAACCCTAGACCCAGCCCAGGTTTCCCCTGCCCCTCTCATCTGCAACGTCTTCTCTCCCCCCAAACTCCTCCCCAGGCCCTGCTCCAGGATGTCAGGCGGCCCCGAAGCCTCCCAAGGCCAAGCCGAGCCTGGTGGGCAGGGTTGGGGCCCTGGCCAACACCCTGTCTCAACACACCTTCCAGACCACAGCACGGGTGCTGAAGCAGGGCCACGCCCTGGCCATGTGGATCCCGGGTGTGGCTCCTCTGGTGAGTGTCCCCCGGCCCCTCCCACCTCCCAGTGACTCTGCCACTTGTCCTGGGAACATCCTCTCTTCCAGCCTGGGCTGGGACCTCAGGTCTAAGGACCAGAGGCCTTAGCGGGGCCAGAGGGCTAGTCCTCTAGGCTGCACAGGGAGGAGAAGATGATGCGAGCTGAGGGCAGGCCGGCCTTGCTAGGGCGGTCCTGCCCCACTCCCATTTCTGTCTCTCCCTTTCTCCCCCTGGGTCCCCCCCCCCCCGCTTCATTCCCCACGTGGGCCCTCCCACCTATGAGGGAACAGAGACCCCCATCTGCTGTCCAGGCACTAAGGAATGTCACCTGTAAATAAGCAAGACACAAACCCTTTCCATTGGGGACAGAGCCCCAGCTGGGCCTTGCCCCGGACCGCCCCCAGGTTTCTGATTTTCCTTCTGGAGGCTTCTAATTTGCACCCCACTGCACCCAAGGTGAAACTGCCTTTTCTAGGCCCAGGGAGGGCTGTCTCCCCGTCGTCGTTCCCCCCGCCCCCCACACACACACCTTTCTGTGTAATTTTAGCAGAGATAAACAGGATATTTTTTCACAAGGAACTTTAGTAAGAAACTAAAGCCAAAAAGGAAGTAAAAACATTAAAGCATAAAGGTCAGCAAACAAGAGAACTACTTTTCAGTCATCATTTGGGTGATACTTTTCAAAGCATCGTCAGGCCTGGCTCGTTCATTCAAGCAAATGTTTGCTGAGGACCTACTATGCGCCAGGTTCTGTCATTGGAGTAGTAGTTCCTCTCTGTTGACTGCACTGGGGGGCTATTTACCAGAGGGCCCTGCTGGTTTCCTCCCATGGGACACTCTGGCCCACTTGACGTTTCCGCTTTAAAGATCTGCAAGTACTACCTACTAAAGTTAAACATACATATGCCCTGCGACCAGCAATTCCACCCAACAGAAATGAGAGCTTATGTGCCCCACAGGACATGTCAGAAATGTTCCTATCAGCTTTATCCTTAGCCGAGAACCGAGAACAACTCAAATGTCCATCAACAGTAGAATGGGCAAATGTGGCCTCTCTCTACATTGGCCGGTTACACGGGAATGGAAAAGAAGGGGCTACTTCAACACGCAGTAACACGGGTGACTCTCACAACATAATGCTGAACGCAAAAGGTATTCATGAAAGAATACACTCAGTCTATGAGTCCATTTATCCGCCGTTCAAAACTAGGTGAAGCCAATGCGTGGTGATAGAAAGTCAGACTGTGGTCATCCTTGGGGATAGTGACTGGGGGGGGGGCACAGGGAGTCTCTGGGAGGTTGGAAATGGTCTCTGTCTCGATTTGTGTGCTTGTAACGGCTCACAGAGCTGTATGCTGAGGATGTGTGCACTTTACATCTGTTGCCACTCAAAAAGTTTTTTTGTTTTGTTTTTTTGTGGTTTTTTTTTTTTTAAAGATTTTTATTGGGGAATTGGGGAGATGGGAACAGCGCTGGGAATTGGGGAAAGGAAACAGACAAGTTGCTGTCGTTTTGGTCTTCAGTCTAGTTGTGGAGGATGTTGCTTCACTGGCCCATGTTGGCACCATCATTGAGCTCTTCCCAGACGAGGCAGATAAGTCGCCGGCTTCTGGACGGCTGCTCACGGCGGCTGCTGGCCGCTCACGCTGGCTGCTGGCTACATATGGTAGCCCATGGCAACCCACTGCCGCAGGGGCTGCAGCCTACGCCGTGGCGACTCACAGCTGCCCAGCTCCAGGTTGAGCTGTTGTTCAGCATCTTAGCTGTAGAGGACAGTGTCACTGGCCCTCATATGTGGGATCCGAACCAGGGCCCTCTGGCATGCCAAGACAGTTCTTAACCATCGCGCCACTCAGCCGGCCCACCACTCAAAAAGTTTTAAGCACGGTCTGCTCCGGCCGGGCTCTGCTCACGTCCCCACCTGGGGCGAGGGGCTTTGGCTGTGGGGGCTGTGAAGACGGGGGCCTCTGCCTTCACTCCCTCAGAGCAGCCTGGCCCAGTGGGGCGCCTCAGCGGCCATGCAGGTGGTGTCCCGAAGGCAGAGCGAGGTGCGGGTGCCCTGGCTGCACAACATGGCCGCCTCCCAGGAGGAGGACCGTGATGAGCAGACGGACACAGAGGGGGAGACGACTGAGGAGGAGGACGAGCCAGAGATGGAGGAGAAGAAGTTCAATGAGGTGAGAGCCAGAGCTGAGTGGGGGTGCTGCAGCCTCAAGGTCCCCCAGCCTGCAAAGGGGTGAGAGGCAGAAGCACAGGGACATGGCATCTGGGGACAGCACTCATCACCTCAGCCCCAGAAGCCCCGCCAACAAAGTAGTTGCATGCCCTTGTCTCAGCTGACCCTCCCAACAACTCATGCAAGAGGCAGGGTAGAGATTGTCCCCATTTTGCAGATGAAGAAACAGGTTCAGAGAGGGGAAGTGACCTGCCCAAGGCCACACAGCTAGTGGTGGAGCCAGGTGTCCATGTTCTTACTCTAACTCTGGGGATGGCAGGGAGGGGAAGGGCCAGGGGAGGTGCTGCAGGAGGCGCTGACCTTGCTCTGGTCCCCAGGTAGCAGCCCTGCCCAGCCCGCGGGGCCTCCTGGGCAGTGTGGGGCACACCCTGCAGAGGGCCATCCGGGGCACCATCTCGGCTGTGACGTGGGCACCTGCAGCTGTGCTGGGCACAGCAGGGAGGATGCTGGGCCTCACATCAGCCCATCCTGCCTCCTCCACCAAAAGGAGGGCCATGTCCCTGTCAGATGCTTTGAAGGGCGTCACAGACAACGTGGTGGACACAGTAGTGCATTATGTGCCCGTAAGTCCCCCCCGCCTCGGGGCCTCCTTCCCCCAGTCTCCTCCGTGACCCTTCTCTGATCCTCCGTGTCCCGAAAGCATTTTGACACACTGTGGCCTTGACTGGGGCCCTTCCCAGCCCTGGGAACGTAGAAACCTGTTACCCTGGCCTAATAATCTCTCTCACATCTCTCCTCCCCATCAGTCTGGGGGCCCCAACTGCCTAGTCCTCACCCCTTAGCTCCCACCTGCAGGACCGGGGAGGTTTGCATGCTGCTTCCTGGGAAGGGGTTGCAGGGAGGCTGCCTGAGGTCCTTGGGGGTGGCCTGTGTTCCAGGGGGCAGCAGCTGCCTCAGTCTCAATTCTGTCACCTGCCGCCAACAGGAGAAACCCAAAGGACGACAATACCACCCTTTTGGGAGTCCTTGGGCCCCTTCCTGGAGCAAGTTACAGGCTCTAGGAGGGTTGGTCAGGGCAGGAGGCTTCCTTAGAGCAGTGTGTGTGTGGCGGGGGGATGGGTGAGTCATTCAGTCAGCCACCCCCACCAAGAGGTGTGCCAGGGGTCGGCAGCCAGCCTGTCTGCCTTGGACCCAGAAACCTAACCAGGGCACTGTGTGGGCTGTGCTTAGCCCGCCACTCAGGCCCCAGAAAGGTCAGGAAAGCCACTGACCTCCCACTGAGGGACCTCTGGGGGAGACACGAGGGGTCCGGAAACTTTGGTGGGGGTCTGCCTCGCCTTGGGTGTCTAGATGGTGGAGATGGGCAGAGCAAGCAGGACCTCAGCAACCTCCCCCGCGCACCGCATCCCACTGCGACCGAGGCCCTTGTCCCACCACCCGGCCTGTGCCCTCCTGATGGCTGCCCCTGGGAGCCGGGGCCGGGGGTAGGGTGGTGCAGAGGAGGCAGGGGAGCGGGGTTGTGGGGTGGTGGTGGCAGGCGCAAGGCGATGGCCAGGCCGAACCCTGATGAGGCTGTCGGGTCCTCAGCTCCCCAGGCTGTCACTGATGGAGCCCGAGAGCGAGTTCCGGGACATCGACAACCCGCCCCCTGAGACGGAGCGCAGGGGGTCCGGGGCGCCGCCCTCTGGCCCCGATACCACCCTGCGCGCGGCTCAGCACCGAGGCAGCCTACGCAGTGCGAGGGGCCCCGGCCTGGAGGACAGGGGGGACCCGCCTGCCTCATCGCGCCCGGCCTTCCCGGCCGCGCCCCGCGAGAAGCCGAAGCGCAGGGTCAGCGACAGTTTCTTCCGCCCCAGCGTCATGGAGCCCATCCTGGGCCGCGCGCAGTACAACCAGCTGCGCAAGAAGAGCTGAGCGCCGCCCCCTGCGAGCCGGCGGGGCCTGTGTCGCCAGCACGTAAGCAGCCCTGCACTTCCAAGAGAGCGTTGACTTCTTCACAGTAGCCCCCTGGGCAGCCCGAGCCTCATTCTGACGATGCTGCCAAGGCACACGTCATCTTGTGAGCATCCTTTTGGAGTTTAGCCCTCAGAGCCAATTTTTAAGAAGCATCAGAGCAGCAGCCTTCTTTGATTGTATGTCTTGCTTTTTACTGAAAGATTAGTGGCCTAACCTGAGCTCTTCTTTAACCAAACTTGTTGCAAAATGACATTTGACTGTTTCCAAGATTTTGAGCCATCTTCTGTGGACAAACTATTTGCCACCAATGAGTTACGTGTCAGGACCCTGAAGGTCCAAGCATGTTTAAGCCCTGAGCTCAGATTTCTGAGTATCGCACTTCTCAGTAGGCTACTTTGAAGGAACAACAATCAGGTGTAAAAGCTCTCGTGTGTTTATATAAAATAGCGTCACTTTTTGCGTACCTGGCACCCTGCGCTTCTCCAGGCCGGGTACTGGCCTGTGCTCTGTAGCGCCACCTTCTGGCTCAGTCATTCCCATTTGCACCCTGACTTCCCACCTGAGCATTCACCCTTTGGAATGCTGTCACTCCCAGTGTGGCGGGACGACAGGTGACCCTTCACCTTATAAAGTCTATACCATATAGACCATTCCAAGCCCTGTTTTTGAAAATGTTAATATTCAGTAAATCTAAGGGATGCATCCATTTAATTTAAATTTCAAACACTGCAAATGGGTGGGATCCCTGAGGTCCCAGTTCCCCTTCACAAAACAATCACGGTGCCAGCCACCTGTGTATCTTCCAGTTACAGGCTGTGTACATGCTAGCACGTGTGTAGGAACACCCCACCTTCGTTCGCACAGCTGTGGAGGTGGGGGTGCTCTTTCCACTTAACAATACATCTTAGACATCTTTTTGTGTCACTAGCATAAATCCTCCTTGCTCTTTTTAATGGCCACATAGTAGGTGCCTCAATGTAGATGCTATAATTGATTTAACTAGTTTCCTTGTCGAGGACTGTTAGGTTGTTTCCATTTTTTTTTCTTGCTACTGCAAACAGTACTGCAATAAATGTCCTTATACAGAGCGTCTTGTGTACATGTGTGGATATATCTATAGGATAAAATTATCACTTGGAACCATGACCTGATGGGCGAAGGGTATCTACGTGTTAAATATTCTTAGATGATGCCAAGTAGGCTCCCAAACCAAACTCTGTTTTTCTTATTATTTTCCTCTGCAGCTACATAGATCATTAAATGCTTGCTTCCTTCTCCAGATGTTTTCTATCTGAAGGTGAGAGCACAGAGGAGAGCTGGAAAAGCCAGATCCTTTGTCACATTGCCACTAACTCAACCTGCCCTGCAGTCCTTCTCCCTCTGGTCTCTCTGTTAGCTGAGATGACAAATGACCTTATTGTTCAAGCCACTTCAGGTTGTGGTTTCTGTTCCTTGAGGCTGAGGGTTTCCTAATACAGATCTGGCCAAAGAGTCTTGGCAATTTTGATAGCCTTTCTGCAGAAATCCTCTGTACACAAGATAAATTTTGCTACTACATCAGAGTTCAAATTTTTTTTTTTGTTTAAAGATTTTTGTTGGGGAATTGGGGGAAGGGGAACAGACAAGGTGCTATCCTTTCGTTCTTCAGTCTAGTTGTGGAGGATGTTGCTTCATAGGCCCAAGTTGGCACCATCATTGCGCTCTTCCCGGGAGAGGCAGATCAGCCGCTGGCTTCTGGACGGCCGCTCACGCTGGCTGCTGGCTACACACGGTAGCCCATGGCAACCCACCTGTCGTCGCCTGCGGCTCACTGGCAGCCCAGCTCCAGGTTGAGCTGTTGTTCAGCATCTTAGCTGTAGAGGGCAGTGTAACTCGCCCTCATATGTGGGATCTGAACCGGGGCCCTCTGGCATCCCAAGCCAGCTCTCAACCAACGCGTCACTTGGCCGGCCCTCAAAATTTCTAATGACATTTTAAGTGGCAGATATGTTTCTAGATTTTAATTGAAATTCAGCCATGCATGGTGCTCCCAGTGCAACCAATTCGCCAGAGGTGACAGAAGTGAAGACACCGTCTCCTCCAGGTGGCATGTGGACATCCCCACATCACCTCTCCTAGTGCCAGGTTCCCCCTGGCAATGACAGCAAGATACAACTCAATTGCAGAAATGCTAGGATGTGAGGAAACACAAGTCTTAGGACTGAGGAAGCATTTTCTGATGTGGGGAGATGGAAGTTTTTGATGTTTTGGGGTCAGAGACAGGTGGCTTGGGTCTGAGAATAAAAGACAGTTATGAAAGAAGAAGGGATTCTGAGCTGAGGACAGATTGCCTGGGATCCAGTTTGGGGACATCAGAAACATAAGGAGATGCCATCATGAGGTTGCGTGTTCGTTCTCCAGGTATGTTACATGCACCACGCTGTCATTTTGTACCTACAATAAGAAAATACCATATTGCCCCACATCCATAGTTCTAATAGTACAAAGATAGTTTTCATTCCTTTTTTCAATAACTTTTACCAAAAATCCCTGTGGAGTGACGATGCCAGGTCTTGGGACAAAGCAAAGAGACATGAATATGACACACTCCCTTCAAAGAGCTCACAGTTTAGTGGGTGAAATGGACAAGTGAACAGTTACATACATTACACGTGTACATAATAATATGTACATGCTTGTATATCATAGTGCTATGGACTGAAAGTCTGTGGCTCCTGAAAATTCATATATTGAAATCCTACCCCCCAAGGTGTTGGTATTTGGAGGTGGAGCCTTCCTGATTAGGATAAGGGTCTTTACTAGAGACCCCAGAGAGCTGGCTCCCTTCCGCCCTTTGAGGACACAGTGAAAAGACAGCTGTTTAGGAAGTGGGCCCTCATCTGACAATGAACCTACTGGCGCCATGACCTTGGACTTCCAGCTCCCAGAACTGTGAGAAATAAACATTTGATGTTTATCAGCCACCCAGTCTGTTATAGCAGCCTGAATGGACTAACACATACATTGGAAGGGGAACCTCCAAGACATGGAGTGTGCTTACTCAATTTATAGGTGCCTTCTATACACCTATTTTTTTTTTCAATTGGCATGTGTTTCAGGGGCAGGAAGGAGACCAGCAAAGAGGCTTTGCAGTGGGCCAGGCCAGAGATTGTGGTGGCGTGGGTGATGGGCGAGGCTGGGGAGGTTTACAGATAAATTTGCCTAGACTGGAAGCTACTTTGGAGGGCAAATCGGGGTTTGGAGGAGGTAGATGTGAGAAGAGAGAAGCCTAGGATGGCTTGAGTGCTGGGGTGGGTGGTGGGGACACCTGGGTAGCACCTGCCCAGGTAGTTGCAGGATGAAACCTCTGCAAGGTTCGCACTGGCCTTTTGCCCACAGAATAACCTCCCCAACTGGAGAGGATGGCTAAGCACTCTGTACCATCCCCCACCTCCCAGTGGCCTTTTTAGGGGCAGTGGCCCACCCAGAAACTCGAGGCTGGTGACAGTGGAGTCCACCCATGGATCCCATACCCTTTCCAGACTGGCTTCTAAGCCAGAGCTGTGGGCTAGGACTTGTCAGGGCCTGCTCTGGGGGAAGGCTGCCCCAGGGGACACACCCCACCCTGCTCTCTTCCCGGCTTGATGGAAGGCCTGACTAGGAGATCCCTGGTGCCTTCAGGCATCCAGCCCCTGGGTCACCCTGGGTCTGGGTCAGAGAAGGGGCACAGTAGTGACGGCCTAGTGTGAGTGTCAAGGGTGCAGCCAGAGTTCCAACCACCTGAGGAGAGTGGGGAACCCATCCTAACCCAGAAAGTTAGGGCGGATGGATCCTTCAGCTTTAGAAGGGGACGTGAAACCAGTGGAGGAAAGAAAGGAGGTGGAGGCTTCCTGGGGCCTGGGGATGGAGAGCTTGGAGGGGGAGTAGCGAGTGCAGATACAGGGAGCCAGGGGTGCAGTGGCGGGAGGAAAGGTCTACACCTGAATGAATGAATGAATGAATGAATGAATGAATGAATGAATGAATGAATGAATAACGAACGAATAGTAGCTTAGCTTTAGTCCAGTTAAGTCTCAGGGTTGGAAAATCCACCCTCCCCACGCGAAGCCAAAAAGGTCCCTAGTTAATTTTCCTCTTCTCACGTGTTAACAACTTGCCATTATGAGACTTAGGTGCGTGGCCCGTGGGCAGGCGGGCTTCTCCGGCTGGGAGAATCAGGCAGGCCTCGTGGGTTGCTGTGGCCACAGAATTCGATGAGTCTGCGCTAGGATCAGCGCGCAGCGCCGCGGTACCTCGGCGGGACTCGGGCTGGGAACCAGAGACGCGTGGTCCCGCCCCCAGGCAAGGCCCCGCCCCCAGGCAAGGCCCCGCCCCGCCTCCGTCCCCGAGAGCCCGAGCGGGCGGAGTTGCGGGGGAGGAGCGGGGTTATTTAGGGGGCGGGGGTCCTGGTGACGGCATCGGAGCGCGCCATTCTGAAGTCTGGAGGCTGGCTGCACGACCCGAGGGGCTGCGCTGGTACCTCGGCAGGTGAGTGTGGGCCCGGGAACGGTGGAGGGCGAGGACTTGGGGGGGGAGGGGTTGGGGAGGCGCGCTCGCCCCCTCCTGAGCAGGCCTGGGCTTGGTGGCTCTGGGGACCGGCACGCCTTTGGAATCCCGGCCCGGCACGAGGAGCCCCCACCATTGCTTACTAGCCTCCTGGAGGCCCCTCCTGGGCAAGCAGGAGCCCCCCCCCCACTTTCCTAGGTCGGGGGCCCGAGGCGGACATCCCGGGCCTGGTCTGGAGGAGGAGCGCTGATGCTGTGAGGGTCGGGTCTGCATGTGTGACCGCTTTCCCAAACTTTCTCGAAGTTCCCGCCTGCGGCTCTCGACGTCCTACCCGCGCAGAACCGCACCGGTGGAGGTGTCTGGGCGCGGGGAGGCCGGGACTGCAAGGGCCTGAGAAAGCTCTGGTGGGTCGGCGAGGCAGGTACCGCTGTGTCCCAGGGCCCGGCGCTCAGCAGGGACCGAAGGCTTCAATTAAACCGTTCTAAGTGCCGAGAGAAAATATAACGAAGCGTTGCTGAGAAATGCTAGGCGATTGCATCCTTGTGCAAACGTCGTCGAGGCACTTCACACACACCTGGACGGCACAGCCTACCGCACACTAGGTTCTGGGACAGCCCAGGCTACAAACCTGCACAGCATGTCAGGGCGCAAAACAACAGGAGATTAAATCAAGCCCAGGAGAAAATGCTTAAAGCAAGAGATGCAGTCAACACGCTGTGCGTCAGGCTGCTGCATGCGGTCTCACAGCCAGGTTTTATAAGTAGAAAGAGTCCACTCGAAGGATTGATAGGATAGTAAATACATAAACCAGTAGCAGTTGATTAGCATTTTCAAGTATTATGTACTGAATTGTATGTGCAATGCTTTTATACGACTGGCAGGGCAGTAAGCTTGTCTACACCAGCATCGCCACTAACACGTGAACAATGCATTGCTCCGAGTATCCCAGTAAAATCAGGTGTAATCGTTTTGTTCGTGGAGGGTCTTGCCTCCAATGTGTAAAAAACAAAACACCTGTGAAGTACCATAAAGCCCAGTGCGGTAAATGAGGTTTATCTGGTGAAAAATACAGTGGGCCCCGGGAAAAGGGGTGGTGAGGAATGTGCTAAGAGAAGGAAGGATGAAGACGGGAAAAGTTTCTTGGGTAAAGATTATTCATCCCTATTGGGCAGCTACTGAGCTTCAGACTTGTGCTGGGCACTGGAGATACAGCACCAAGGGGACCGGCGGGTCCCTGCCTCCCAACTCCCAGTCTGGCAGGTGCAGGGAGACCATCAGGAAATATGGCAATTGCAACAGTGATCAATGGATGATGGGAGCAGCCTGGGGGTTGTGTGGGGG